ATACTGTCATTCAAGAATGACATATCCTTTTGGCGTAGCCGCGAATCCATGGTTGGCCTCTCCTCCAAGTAGGTTTCGGACTGCTGAGTGTTGAGGCTGCAATGGCCGCTTTTGATTGAGGGTCACCTCAATGCCATTCCTCCACTTTTAGGGCTCTGCTGTGGCGATGTTTTTCGTATACAGTTATTTTCTTCTATCTTAAAGATCAGAACACTAGTCTTCTTGTGATTGTTCCTGCTGGAATCTCCGTTCTTATTGAGTTCTGGAAATTGAAAAAGGCTTTCAAGGTTAGTGGATGCTATTTCTGTTGTACATCCTTTTGTCGATGTTGCTTGGAGTTGCTTTCAATACAGCAGGAGCTTTTCATCCTATCAACCGCTTTTTAGGCCGCATACGCATAAGCGCGCTCAGTAGTACAAGGCTTACTTCATCTCCTGAAATTCTTGCGCTGAAGCAATCTTGTGATATGCTATTGTTTCAAGGAGATCAATGAATCTGAAAAAATTCAATTTTTTCCTGAACTATGTGGAACATATCGAAGGAAGGTTCCTCCGAGTCCGGTCATAGATCAAATTTCGAAAATTGCAGTGGGAATACGAAAAAATACATGGTGTCTGTGCAAAGCATCAGTGGCGTTTTTTGGAGTTCAGTTGAATATTAGATTTTAAATAGTTTCTCTTTTCACAGGTGACGTTCACACGGCGTGGATTAAAGTTTGGAAAGCACTCAGCCGAGGAAGCGGAGACCGATGCATTCGATAATGAAGCTATGAAATACCTGGCATGGCTGATGACTCCTCTCTGCATCGGAGGAGCCATTTACAGGTACGAAATAATGAACTGTACCTTGTAGATTAGCATTGGTTTCCTAATATTCGAATATGGAGGCATATGCAGGGAAAGGGAGGGGAAGGCAAAATGGTAGGTTCACCAATATTTTTGTGCCGCTACGACATGATCTTTTACAATTCAATTGTGACGAATAATTACGAAGATGAAATTTCGAAAAAAGTTGTACTACAGCGCGCATGTAAGCGTGAAAGGTTGAACTGATGTTGTGTCTAAGACAGCTTTTGAAGTGCTGAAGATGCTGAATTTCATCGATAGAAGCTTTATGGAGTATTCTTACCTCGTACAAAACTGTTTTGGTGCTTCATCGTTTTTTACTTCCATATTGTTCATGCTTCCAGCTTGATGTATGTACCACATAAGTCGTGGTATAGCTGGGTGCTTGAGTCGATGGCAAATGGAGTCTATGCGTTTGGTTTCTTGTTCATGCTTCCTCAGTTGTTTGTAAATTATAAGCTGAAAAGTGTGGCCCATCTACCATGGAGAGCCTTCACGTACAAGGTATGCTCAATTTTTGATCGACCAAAATACTCATTTCTAATGGCTTTATTCTACTTTCTTCCATTTATTGCGTATCGCAAGTTGTTTCCCGTTCAGGCTTTCAATACCTTCATCGATGATCTGTTTGCCTTCATTATAGTCATGCCAACGGTCGTATCGAGTTTGCATTGCTTTTCGGTTAGTTAACTATCCGGACGGTACTTTTCTTATCATTCGGTTCTCATTGTAAAGTTTTCAGCGATGATATCGTGTTCCTGATCTACCTATACCAGCGCTATCTTTATCCTGTCGACTACACACGTATCAACGAATTTGGCCAAAAGGGTGAAGAGACATCAGATGAGAAAGAAGGCTGAAGATAAGCCCACTACCCAGCAGGCGACTAAATCCAGCGACGCAAAGCCTTCCGACGCTTCCATCTGAAAAGATCAAACCGAGGAAGAAGTTGGCTAAGAAAATTGACTAATCTCGCCTGTGATACGACCATAGGTGCACTTTTTCTGATCTGTGATTACTGTTTTTTTATTAAGACGGGATTAAATACAAGTTTCAAGGGGTTTTAGAAGCAGAACTGGTTTAGTTTTTCATCGAAAGCTATTATTCGTAGCTACTTTGTACAAATTTTCCCGTCCCCAGTGTCGGGTTGTGTTTCGCCCTATTGTATATCGAAATTGAGAATTTTACGCTAAAAATTTGGTCTGGTTACTGGTTCTGCTACTTGTAAAAAATACGTCGCTGAAATATTGATGACTATCAATTAATTTATTTGTTTATGTATTTAGTGTTGTTTGAGGAATAAATGTTTACTTGTCTTTGATTCGTATGGTGAGAAAGGTTTTTGATTTCAAACGATGGGGCAACATGTTGCCTAATAAAGCGAGTTAACGATGAAAAGACACCCCATTAATACTCAAGGTAGGGGTTGTCAAATTAGATGCAGGAATGTAAGAAAAAACATGTGGAAATGGCCTAGACCCGCCGAAATTGATTTCTTTTGGCCTTGATTCCCGCGGTCGAGTGAATCTCACTGACGTTATTGTTGCAGTCGCTCTGCTCTGCGTCTCTGCTAAAATCGTGGAGTCCGCGGCTAGAGACCGACGGCGAGGGCAAACACTCGCGGGCGGGCAGAGGCACGAGCGGCGCGGGTACGACCCTGCTAGGCCGCTGGAACCATTCCCTTTGCTGCGAAAACGCACATCCGTCTTCCACCCTCAGGCCGCCTGCCTTTCGACGAAGATATTTACCATTCTTCGACTTCCGACCCCTTGAATCCTTCTTTAACTCAAGGAATAAAAGGCTAGCCGCTAATGTGCTCCTTGGGACCTTCTTCTATTTTCTATTTTCTTCCAGCCTTCTATTTTGATCGGGATTTCCTGCGGGATTCAAACGTACCCTTGACTTGTACATTGGGTTAGGATCTCGTTTCCTTCAACATTTTAGTGCGTAACAAATGGCAACTTCCAAAGCATCGAAGGCTTGGTTAATGTGACGAGGTTTTATCCCAAAAAGGTTACAAATAAAACGCGAGCTTCTCACGGCACCACCATAAGCTTGATTTTGTGAAGAAATGTATACAAAGGCTGTGAAATGCTTCAAGATGTAAACTAAAGACAGTCCAAAATAAACCGAGATCGGCAAAGAAATGCTGTGAGCGCTCGATTAGGTGCAGCGAATGGCGCCAGATTCAGAACATTAATGTGCCAGAGTTTATCGGAAGAGAATTGGGTTTGAAATAAGTCTGTTGTTGCTTTTACTATAACGGTCCTCACAGGTCTCGCGGTCGTGTTGTTTGGCGGACCACCCAACCGAGCGTGCTGTCAGCCGGTTGTCATGGCGACGATGTACCGACACGGATTCGAGCGCGGGTTTTGTTGTATTCTTGCGGGATTATTCCTTGATTATGACGTTCTGAGCTGTTCTTATGGATAAGAAGCTTTTCGCATGGTCACCTTGCAGTGGATGGCTTTGTTTAGCTTCTCAAGTACAATCGGCGGTTCAGATCAACTTCTTCACACATAAGGTATGAGTTTGCTCTGCTCCTCGAATGTATTCGGGTCGACGGTATACTGAGGACCTGCAACGTTTTTGTCTCTGTAAGTCTAGTGAGCTTTTGGGAAGATGCCATACCAAAGCTTTACAATCCTCGGTCAGAAACCTATCCTCAAGCCGAATACAGTGATAGCAAGTCGCGATGGAAGCTCGCAAAAATCCTCCTCCCTAATATTCCGCATCTGATAGCTAGGAGGGTAGAAGGTTGAGGCAGCTTCTCCCTGAA